GAGTCCTGATGCGTACCACCCCATTGAGACCCTCATATATATCTAATAGAGCCTCCCTTGACGTCATTATCATTAGCATATTGGAAGATTATACCTTCAAAACTCAAAGACGCAACACTGAAATTCAGAAATATTTCACCATTCAATTATTTACTTTAAATAGAATCAGAAATTATTTTGTCAGGCGTCATAGGCACTTTAACAAATTTGTTTTTCGAAAATTGCCCTATTTCATTGAATCATAGTATGTATAAATGCTCGAAAACCTATTAGAAATTTAGACACATTTATTTTCTACTCCGAAAGTAGAACTTCTTGCTCATCAGAAATTTTGATATACAGCAAGGCGAGCATAATCTCTGCGTCAAAACAATAGTATGTGACGTCATAATGAAATAGGGTAATTGAATATCAAAAAATGCACGTAAATTGCCTCCCCTTCAAAAATGGCCGCCGTATCGTCGAAGTGCTCGAAGCGGACTATCGATCGATTACATGCCTATCTTGTACAACTACACTATAGACAATGTGMAAGGACGTTTCATTATGGCATTGATATTACATTTTTGCATGTGTACTTAAATCTATCTTACCTGATAAAAGCCAATAATGATCTTAAAACACGACAGTATGATATCAGCTATTGTTCGTTTGTCATTTTGAACTCGCTTGTTGTCGGTTTTAAAGAGGACAAATAGTAAACCAACGAAGACGACAATTACAACTGCTATTTCTACAGCTGCTACGAGCTTTGAGGGACAGCGAATGCACCTATAAAAATTAATTCGATTGAAATATCACGGCTGCAGTTGCATAGCGAGGGAAGAAGCTGTTGACAGAGAGACTGGAGACTGTATGCAAGCCTTGTGCGACTTACAGCGCAAAGAGAGCTTTAAATATTGTTGATGATGACGACGATAATGATGATGATGATGACGATGATGATGATGATGATGTAGTCATTAAAAATCAGGATAATTTTTGATAAGTTATCAATTAAATGTAATAATTAATGGCGATAATTAAAACAATGGGAAAACTTAACCTGTTCATCCGCTTAAAGTAGTCAGTCTTACATAAAGCACAGAGTGGTCCCTGGTATCCAACCGCGCAACTGGAATTCAGTCCCCCTAGACAAGACGACTTGCGAAGGCATTTGTGGGGCTTGGGGAGAGTACCAGTATATTTCCATGCGCTTTTCATAAATTCATCCGATTCGATGTTCAAGTTGTCCATAAAATTACTGTACTGTTGTTTTCTCGTGATATTGTTCCATTCCYAGTAATAACCTTTCGCTAGGACTGCATAATCATTGCGACAGAGCAGAGCCTTCGAGGGACACGCCCAACACCTGTCAAACCGGTCAAACCGGTAAAAATTTCCAAGACAATAGCATGCTCTGTAACCAGCATGTTTATTGGGCTGAGTACCTAATATAGATCACATGCATGTCAGTAACAGCTTGCTTCTGCAACATTTCTTAGGYCCAGGTTGTTCATCGAGCTTCACATGCCGAATACAATTTAATTCACGAATTWAATTCAACAGTGTTGAGTTAAATACGACTTCAGTTGAATCTGAAACTGAAACAGTCGAAGATGMCGTCAATGTTGTGGAATTTCACATGTGGTAAATGTAATTCATACTTCTTATAATAGTTASCATGAAAAAGTCGTCTGTGTTATCCGCCATATAGGAAACACAGTGACCGAGAAGGATTGAGATTAATAATTGGCAATTGATAATTTAAGTCGATTAGAATGGAAATTGTCTTCAGCACATTTGAAGTTCGGCGTATAACCTAGACATAAGTGTAATGACACAAAGAGTACACTCAAAATTGTATATAGTACAGTTAAGGCGGCAAGGCAATAGGGGCTATCAGGAAATGAGAAATATATATATGAGAAGGGACAGCACGAAAGGGAGCTAAAGAATTAAGACCCTTTTGATGCAGCGAGTGATGCGTCTTTTGGAAGACTGCATTTTCCAGCTAGACACAAGACCCCTTTTGTGATGTTCCCTCTCATATATATATATATATGGTTGTAGTGATTGTATGATCGATCATGTACTTCGCTAAGGGAACATGAAATCAACTGACCTGTTGGGCATGCCTGGCATGAAAGTGGGCTCAATCCGGGAGCTAAATCGGGATGCACAAAAGTGCCATTGCTACAGTTTTTGCAGTGATTTTGACCCATCTCCTCTTGATAAAAACCTCCTAGTGACAACAGTAGAAATAATAGTAAAAATAATAGTATAAATAATCGTATTTTTCATAAAGTTTATGGAAAAAAGTAGGCAATGCACTCTGCAAATGGAAGCGTGTCAAGACCTTAATTGGYGCAGAATCTATGTACCCCCTCCTTTCAATTCTGGATCTGTCTCTATGTTCATTTGTCAATGAGAGGATTGTGGATCCGTCTGATGGAGCAGGCCAGGGCTGGACTAATCTGATAGACTTGTGATTGTTAATTGAACGGCATTTTAACGGTTCCCTATATGGGTGTGTAATCTTCGGTGAATCAAGGGATATTTTCCCTTGGGCTACGAAACTGATTTTTGAAGAAAATTAAGAAATGCATAAAAGAGTTGTATATTTTATTAGATATTTATCCTTTAGAGGATATCTAAATCTCTCACCCGCGCTGCAATCAACACATCCTGTGTTTTTTCTGCCATTACCATAAGTACCAGCTTTGCAAATGTTGCATTCCCAGTCATTATCATGGAATTTTTTGCAATCAAATCCTGAACGATACAGGGATTTTGCAACTCCATCATCAGAAACTTTGATGGGAGGAAGATGRTACGGCGTACAAATGCTGTTGAATGAATCGAAATATAACTTTTTTATATCATCTTCTTTAGCGAGGGAAAAGTGGCTACTTATTTGTTGACGAGTCCAAGGGTCATCATCATTTGCCTTAAGTGGGCTCAAAAAACGCCAGAAAAGTTATAAGAGATAGTAAGAATATAAAACGGCTGCAGGTTGGTCTCTGTCCGTCTCTCTTCTAATATAAACACASTTGGAAGATGAAGAATCGATGAAGAACACTCAAGATGAACGAGAAACCTGCTTCTCTCGTACTTTTCAACTCACTGCGTGTTTTTATGCGAGAAATGAAAGCCAAGTTTTCCCGTGTTTCATCTTTCGTTTATCGGATTTTGGGTTTTTCTGCGACTTAAGGGTGTTTTTGGTATAAATCTCTTCTACTGATGAAATTTTGAAGAAATTACAATTTATCAGTTGAAGCTTCGCTCAAAGTCGAAGCAAAACCCAAAATCCTAGAGGAATTGBAAACAATTTGTACTTACATTTCGCCTAGTGAAGATGAGTCAATAAGTGGAAGATTTACAAGACTTCTGCATTGGAGTGCACTACAAATCATAKTTGAGCACAAATAGCATAATGATTAAATAGAAGTTAGTTAGTTAGTATTTACATAACAAGTAGTCTCCTTCACGGTTCCCTGCTTTATGTTGAAACGTACTTAACCGTGMCTTCGTATCGAAGCGAGACGATTGGTGAGCGTACAGTGAYATAGCCGGAATCGTTTGTTCACGCAAACAGACAATTGACCTTTTTTACGTCACTACTTRATTTTCAATGCATTTTGGAATCAGTTTCTATGGAAACTGCTACTGATATGGTACATAACGTGAAAGCTTCAAAGGTTAATTATCAAYTGGCATCATTGCCAGCTCASTGGTCGTCTTGCTCGGATGCAAAGCCTGGTTACATTTCAAGATGGCGCAGGCCGGAACCTTGAAGGAGACTATTGGCATCAGACTTACGTCATTGTTTCATTCCCTAAGTCCTCCAAGAATTTGGGTTCAATGTGCAGGATACGATTTGAAAACAAATATCTATACGCAAAAATAATAGCAGTAAAGGGAAATTCATCAATGATTAG